TTCCAGAGGTCCTGAGTTCAATTCCCAGCAACCACATGGTGGCTCACAACCATCTGTACTGAGATCTGGCGCCCTCCTCTGGCGTGCGGGCATACATCAAGGCAGAATGTTGTATACATAATAAATAAATCTTTAAAAAAAAAAAAGAGGAAAAACTAAGCCAGGCGATGGGAGGCAGAGGCAGGCGGATCTCTGTGAGTTCGAGACCAACCTGGTCTACAAGAGCTAGTTCCAAGGACAGGCTCCAAAGCCACAGAGAAACCCTATCTCGGGAAAAAAAAAAAAAAAAAAAAAGAGGAAAAACTAAACAAAAACTAGTGAGATGGTTCAGCAGTAGAGGTCTCACCAAGTCTGATGACTGAGTTCCATCCCAGGACCCACGCACTGGGAGGAGGGAACTGACTCCTGTATTAGCCTACATCCACATGCATACATGAGTCAACTATAAAACAATGCTGCCCCAGTGTGGTTTTTGGAAGAGAATGGCCCCATGGACTCATATGCTTAAATCCTTGGTCCCCAGTTGGTTGAAACTGTTTGGAAAGGAACAGGGGGCATGGTCTTGGGGAGGTGTGTCACTGGGGACAGGCAGGCTCTGAGGTTTCAAAAACCCACTCCATTCCCAGTTAGCTTTCTACCTTCTGCCTGTGGATCAGGATCTAAGTTCTCAGTTTCTACTCCAGCTTCATGCCTGCCTGTCCGCGGCCATGCTTCCTGACATGACGATCATGGACTTAAATTGTCCGGAACTAGGGCTGGAGAGATGGCTCAGAGGTTAAGAGCATTGACTGTTCTTCCAGCGGTCCTGAGTTCAATTCCCAGGACACATGGTGGCTCACATACAACCATCTGTAATGGGCTCTGGTGCCCTCTTCTGGCATGCAGCAGATCACTATATACATAATAAATAAATCTTACAAGTCAAAAATCCCTCTGGAACTGAGTCCCATAAAAACATGGCATCTCTTCACAGCAGTGGAAAGGTAGCCATTCCAGGCACCAGCGTGGTAGTCCACACCTGTAATCCCTATGCTTGGGAGATGGGGGCAGGAGGATTATGAGTTCATCATCTACTTGGCAAGTTTGAAACCAGCCTGGACTACAGGAAACCTTGCATTAAAGAAACAAAAGGTGTGTGTGTGTGTGCTGGAGAGTGGTTACGAGTGTTTGTTGTTCTTGCAAAGGACCTGGGTTCAATTCTCAGCACACACATGATGGTTCACAACCAATAAGCATATACATGCATGTGAAACAAAGTATTCATTCACACATAGAAAATAAATAGGGGGACAACAAAAAAAATGTTCTGGGGATGTAGCTCAGTTGATAAATACTTACATGCATGAAGTCTTGGGTTTGACTCCCACACTAAAATCAAATGTGATCTTAACTAAATCCCAATATGTGGGAGATAGAGGCAGGAGGCTCAGGAGTTCAAGGTCATACACAATTACCCACTCAATTCAAGGCCAGCCTGGACTATGTGGACCACTCACAAGTCAAGGAAGAAACAAAAGGCTCAGCTGGTAAAGGCAAGACATGGCCTGAGCTGGATTCCCAGAACCCACATGGTAGAGAGAACTGACTATCCATGCACACTTGCACACACAAAATGCAACAGAAATAACAGGAAAAAATGTCTTTTAAAAGGTTTGTAAATCAGAGCCGGGCCTTGGTGGCACACACCTTTAATCCCAGCACTTGGGAGGCAGAGGCAGGCGATCTCTGATTTCGAGGCCAACCTGGTCTACAGAGCTAGTTCCAGGACAGGCTCCAAAGCTACAGAGAAACCCTGTCTCGAAAAACCAAAAAAAAAAAAAAAAAAAAAAAAAA